CCCAGCCGATCGTTAGGCAGATCATATTAGTGGTCCGTGGGATTTAAAATTATGAATTTAGTGGTCCCTGAGGTTCGAAAGGTTGGAGAACTCACAATTAAAGGGAAGTCATGGCAGTGTTGAAATATAAACTGCGTGATTATGTCCAAGAAAAGAGCCCATCCTACATATCTCATCCAACTTCCGCTCCTTGCAAGCAAGCTAAAAAGATCTGCTCAGCTTTCAGGAGCTATTTTTATTTTGTTCTCCCAGCCTCCGTGAAGACGCAAAGTGTTTCTTCGCCTCCACAAAGCTATGTGCTCCTTGCCAAATTTGGTTGGTGATACTTATCGTTCTTCTCAGCTATTTTGTTTTCCCCCGTCGATTCTGGGCAAACATATGTAATTTGCCAGCGGAGACGCCGTGCGTCCCTGGACAATTTGCCCTATGTTTAAAAGACGCCTCTGCCATCTTCTTCTTCTTTGGATTGTCAAAGTTAAAACCGGGAAGCAAAGACCAGAGAAAAAAAATAAATAAAACATTCTTATCTCTGTGGGATGCCTGTCGCAGAGGCGGCTTTTAAGCGTCTCCGATTTGGCTAGGAGGCCCCGATCTCAATAGCTTTATGGTATCTCCATCAAGGTTTACAAAGCGCTTTATTGAGCACTAGGGTACTTTGCCATGAGAAACGGCCAATATCAGGAAGATGGATCGGAGAGATAGACTTAAGTTATGCTTAAAGGAGGCCCGTTGAACGGGTTTATGTGGTTGGCGTCGAAATGCTCTTTCATTTCATTGGGTGGATTGGCTCTTTTGCAGGAGGCAAGGGCGGGTTTTATTGGGTTTTGATTTACCGCGTTGTGTGAAGGCAGCTGATAGAGGTTGCAAAATAGGATGCAGGGCTGCTGATGATCCTGGGTAGGAAGAAATAGAGTAGAATAGAGTAGAGTAGAGTAGAGTGGAGTGGAGTGGAGTGGAGTGGAGTGGAGTGGAGTGGAGTGGAGTGGAGTGGAGTGGAATGGAATAGAGTAGAGTAGAGTAGAGTAGAGTAGAGTAGAGTAGAGTAGAATAGAATAGAATAGAATAGAATAGAATAGAATAGAATAGAATAGAATAGAATAGAATAGAATGTGGAGTGGAGTGGAGTGGAATAGAATAGAATAGAATAGAATAGAATAGAATAGAATAGAATAGAATAGAATAGAATAGAATAGAATAGAGTACAGTAGAGTAGAGTACAGTAGAGTAGAGTACAGTAGAGTAGAGTGGAATAGGAATAGGAATTGGAATAGGAATAGGAATTGGACTAGAAGAACTCCAAGTTCCCTTCCAACGCTGTCATTCTGTTATTCAACTCGGTTATTCTGTTCTGTATTTCCTTTCATCATCAAAGGAAAAGGGGCTTCTTTGGCCCCCTAGAGAAGCCGAACCGAATTTTCGTTCAACTCCCCTATTGCCATGGATAGCTGCAAGATCAGCTCCATCACCCCCTCTCAAAAAAAAAAAAGAAAAAAGAAAGCGTGGAGAATTTGGGAAGACACTTACATTCTCACCTAAGCCAAATGATAGCATAATGTTGGCCAGTGCGATACCACAGGGCAAAAAGGATAGCTAAAAATGTAAATGCAGCAATTAAAGGAGAGAAATTCAAAGATCAGCTAATCCTACGAATAACAGTTAGCTCCGTCACATTAGCTATCTGTACAAAGGTAGACTTTCTTAATAGGGGGAAAAACACTCCACCCACTGTCTCTTTTATCCTTTTGATAGTGTCCTCTTTTCCTGCTTGTTAAGGACGGGGAGGAACGACGTGCAATCGGATGAACCAAATCTGCAAAAGACCGAACAGGTGAATTCCCAGAACAGATTAAGTTTGATTAGTTTTAACCTTGCTTAATTTCTTAGCAATGTTACACGCCGGGTGAACCTGTACCGTTCGGATAGTGTAAGGTTGAAGGTAATGTGTGAATCTAGAAGGTCAGTTAATCAGGGAACAGGTGAAATGCTGTTTTTATTTTAGGAGTACAGTTAGTTTCCAAATGTTTCGTTACCGGGTTAGGTAACATCTTCAGCAGAGTTTAGGGGATGTCAATGTCCTTGTTCTTATTGATGATAGATCAATAAAGATAGATGGATGGATGGATGGATGGGTGGGTGGGTGTGTGGGTGGAGGGATGGAGGGATGGATGATAAATGCTGATATACAGAAATAGCTAGTTGATAGACAAAAGATAGATAGATAGATAGATAGATAGATAGATAGATAGATAGATAGATAGATAGATGGTTGATGAATGGATGGATGGATGGCATAGATGATAGATAGATAGATAGATAGATAGATAGATAGATAGATAGATGGATGGATGGATGGATGGATGGATGGATGGATGGATGATGGATGGATGGATGGTTGATGGATGGATGGGTGGATCATACATAGATGGATGGATGGATGGATGGATGGATGGATGGATGGCATAGATGATAGATAGATAGATAGATAGATAGATGATAGATAGATAGATAGATAGATAGATAGATAGATAGATAGATAGATGATGGATGGACACAGGGAAGAAATGCTACCGGTTCGGTCCGGTTTGGATAAATCGATAGTGATAAAAACTACCAGTTCAGTCGAATCGGTAGTAAAAAAAAAAAAAGCTACCAGTTCCTCTGAACCGGTATTTCCAACAATCAGCTGTGCCATGGGGTTTAGGCTATAGGCTGACTCTGTAAACTGCTTAGAGAGGGCTGTAAAGCACTGTGAAGCGGTCTATAAGTCTAAGTGCTATTGCTATTGCTATTCTAGACAGCGGAGATGGTCTGCCTTTACGGACAACTGTATCTCAGTCCCACTTCCCGTATTTCTGCAAACAGATGTTAACGTCCCTTAAAATAAGGGCGCTCGGGAGCTGCTCGTCACTCCAGTTTCTGGGAAAGTCGCTGTCTTCCTTTCAAAATTCATTCGGGAAGGGCTTTAGATAAAGCGAGGAGGAGGGTACCTGCTTGGAATGCAAATTTGCCTCCCTGCAAATCCTTGACATCTGGAGTGGAAGGGATCTGAGGTTAGAAGGAAGAGAAAGCGCGCCCAAGGTCTTATTAAAAAAAAAACCCAAACTGCTGGCTGCTATAAAAAGACCAGGCAGTGCAGAATGGAGCAGGGCTTAAAACTTCACACGATGCATAAATTTCCTTCTCGGAATTCTCCAGCCTGGTTTAAAGTGGAAAAACTTAAATGCAGTCCAGCAGAACATGCGTGTTCCTGGGGAAGGGAAATACTAGGCTCAGACAAGTGAGCTTCACTTCCGATCTTGCCCTTCTTCTCCCGCCACCAGGTTCAAAACAGGACCTGCCGCTCCAAAATATGAAGCAAGAGATTTTGTCCCTGTTTGTCTACCGTGGGGTATTCGATACCGTGGGGTATCAAAGGAGAAGGAGAAGAAGGAGGAGGAGGAGGAGGAGGAGGAGGAGGAGGAGGAGGAGGAGGAGGAGGAGGAGGAGGAGAAGGAGAAGGAGAAAGAGAAAGAGAAGGAGAAGGAGAAGGAGAAGGAGAAGGAGAAGGAGGAGAAGGAGAAGGAGAAGGAGAAGAAGAACTGTGAGGTCCTTGGTGCTCTCTGAACTTGATTGTTTGCTTACAGATGTTTCATGACCCAACTAAGTGACATCATCAGTCCTAGAAGGAAGTGGGTTCTGTGGAGAGGAGGAGAAGGAAGAGGAAGAGGAGGACAACTGTGCGGTCCTTGGTGCTCTCTGAGCTGGGATGTTTTCTTGCAGATGTTTCTTTATCCAGCTAGGGGACATCATCAGTCCAAGAAAAAAGTGGGGTCTGTGGAGAGGAGGAGGAGGAGGAGGAGGAGGAGGAGGAGTTGGAGGAGGAGAAGGAGGAGGACTGTGGGGTCCTTGGTGCTCTCTGAGCTGGGTTGTTTTCTTGCAGGCATTTTATGACCCAACTAGGTGACATCATCAGTGCTAGAAGGGAGTGGGATTTGCTCCCTGTTTATATACAGTAGCTTTCCATGCCAGCACTGGTGAGAATTTGTTCTTCTCCTTTCTTCAATCAAGGAACTACCGAGGAGAGAACTATACCTCCACCAACACTGGCAAGGCAAGCTATTGTATATAAACACTCAATCGTGCTGATGATGTAACCTAGTTGGGTGATGAAACGTTTGCAGGCAAACAAACCAAGCTCAGAGACCGTCAAGGCTTCCAAAGAAAGCTACAGATCATTGAGGGTGCATGCAACTGTGATAAAAAAAAATGAGCACAACCCATGAAATGAGGCTCACCCAGTCCCATAGCTTTCCATGGGATACGGTTCAGATCGAGAGGGAAATGGTGGCTCTTGGAACCGAATCGGGGGAAACGAAGGGCTTTCGGCGAGCTTCACTCGTAAGGCTGAGAAATTTCACACAAGCCCTAAGCGCGTCTCCTTAAAAAACGAAATTAAAATCCATTCCCCGTAATAACCTCGTCAATGCTTCATCTTTCTGTCTGTATTGCCCTTTATTAGTTTTTTTTTTTTTTTTGAAGAACCAATTAAGGTTTGATTTGCCATTTTCAGGGACAGGTGTAGATGTCAGATGGAGCTAGAGGGCTTTTGCCGTTGTCAGGATGTAGCAGAATTTCAAATCCCGGCTTCCAGATACGCTCCCTTTCCTTGTCCATCTTCATTGCCATCCCCTTCTCCCACCCCCATCCCATCCCATCCCTCGCCCCCACCAAAGATTGCCATGCTGGTGAGTCAGTGCCTTCCACGTCCCCCAGCAATTACCCACCCAGCCTTCTCTCATCAAAGCTCTTAAAGGTGATCTCATGCTGGGATAAATAAGCTGCTTAGCAGCTTGGAAAGAAACGGTGTTTAAACTTTTAATATCTTTTTTTAGCTCCTTCCTTTTTTTTCCTCTCCCCTCCCAGTGTACCACCGTTTCTCTTTGTGCTCGCCTGTGATCTCCTGAAGGACATCATAGTGCCGGCTGCTGTCTCTTTTTTTGTCTCTGTGGGAGAAGAACGTGGGTGGGTGGGTGGGAAATCAACTACACACCAGAAGGAGGGATGCGGGGACATCCTTGGGGCTTCTCGCAATTATCTCTGAAACAAAAAAGAAAAAGAAAGCGATTTGAAGATTCCCTGGAGGCGAGATGTCCTCCAGTTGAGTTGGGAACAAATGCAGTGTGATGTCCATTCTCTTAAGGTAAAGATAAAGGTAAAGGTTCCCCTTGCACATATGTGCTAGTCCAGGGGTCAGCAACCTGCGGCTCTGGAGCCGCATGTGGCTCTTTCATCCCTCTGCTGCGGCTCCCTGTTGCTGGTCGGCTCTACAATTGATAGGGCTTTCGGTTAGGACAAGTATAGGAAAAAGGATGCCGCACTAGGAGGAGACTCTATGGTGGGGGAACCAGACTTCCGGTCAGCAGAGGAAAAAGGACGCCACGCTAACAGGAGACTATGATGGGGAAACCAGACTTCCGGTCGGCTCCAGAATTGAATGGGGGCTTCCAGTTAGGACCTTTGTGGCTCTTTGAGTGTTTAAGATTGCTGACCCCTGTGCTAGTTGTTCCCGACTCTAGGGGGCGGTGCTCATCTCCGTTTCAAAGCCGAAGAACCAGCACTGTCCAAAGACGTCTCCATGGTCATGTGGCCGGCATGACTCAACGCCAAAGGCGCACGGAACGCTTTTACCTTCCCACCAAAGGTGGTCCCTATTTTTTCTATTTACTGCTAGGTTGGCAGAAGCTGGGAAAAGTAACAGGAGCTCACCCTGTTACCCAGCACTAGGGATCGAACCGCTGAACTGCCGACCTTTCGATCGACAACCTCAGTGTCTTAGTCACTGAGCCACTGCGTCCCTTTCTTAGAGGGACTTCTTTTTTCCCCCCATTCTCTTAAAGGGCTTCTTTTCAGAAGAGGTTCTTCTTAGAGAATCTCACCCATCAAGGAACCACCCGTTTCTCATTCTGAATTCACATCACAGCTGCTGCCCGGATTCAAGGAGACACGCAAGGCTAGTTGAAGGTTTGCACCTGAACTTTAAATTCTGGATTACTCATGAAGGCAGCTTTCTTCATGAACAGAAATACTCAAACAACATCTGTTGTTCAGCAACTGAGCATTAAGGAAAGAGGCATTGTGTGAACTAACTTCAAGAGTCCAGTTGTTGGGACATTTATTCGTTAGATTTGAGTAACACACGTGTTTTGGTGTTTCTTTGCTATCTGCTAGTGGTTATCCAGATGTTGGTAGCTGTCAAGCTCCAGGAAAATCAGGAGATTCAGGCAACTCAAATGAGTATAAAGATTTTATTGCTAGCTTAAACTCTCTACAAGAATCTGGCCAACTAACAGTCAAGGGAAATGAGCGGGAGATAAGAAAGGCATTTAAAGTGGGTTGGACTTAGATCTCTTGTGGGTGCACAGGGACTCATGATTTATGACATGTCTGACTCCTCCTTCGGGCTCAGCCTGGTTACCTCCTACATCAGCCTTGATATGATACAGAGTGAAAAAACCCTGCCAGAGTCAAGTGACCACAAGTGCTTATTTTTAGATCTAAACAGTCCTAAGTTTCTTTGGACGAATGCAACTCTTCCCAGTTAGCCACAGTGACTATCTTTTTTTTTTTTTTAAATTTGATTTATATGCCGCCCTTCTCCGGAGACTCAGGGCGGCTTACAATGCGTTAAGCAATAGCCTTCATTCTTTTGTATATTTTATACAAAGTCAGCTTATTGCCCCCACAAACTGGGTCCTCAATTTACCTACCTTAGAAAGGATGGAAGGCTGAGTCAACCTTGAGCCTTGGAGAGATTTGAACCAGCAGTAAATTGCAGGCAGCTGTGTTAATAACAGGGTGCGTAGACCACTGTACTATCAAGGCTCTGGACATGTCCCTGAGGTTCTTCAGGAAGATTCTCGAAGTGTTTTGACTTGGACTTCTGCTTCCTGGGGCTGAGAGAGATTGAGCTCTGGCCCCAAGTCAGAGCTACCAGTTACTACCAGTTCTGAAGGTGTGGCTTGGTGGGCGTGGCATAGCTTGGTGGGCGTGGCTTGGTGGGTGTGGCAGGGGTGCATGCATGTGTGACAGAATGCTGCTCTCCTGGATTTTGGCACTCCCGTGCGGGCGAAGGCCAACTGACCAGCATGTGTGTTTGCACAGGAACGTGGAAGAGGAGCCAGTGAGGCCACACGTCCTGTGCAGGATGGTTCTGCGTGTCGCTTCCGGCACGTGTTCCATAGGTTCGCCAACATGGCTCTAAATCTTCTCTAGATTTCCACAAATACCGGCTAACTTGCAAAGGCCTCTCCGAGTCTGAAATTGACTGGGCTGTGCTTCTGCCTCCACCTCTCTGCTCCGCTGCCTCTTCGGCGGAAACTGCCAAACCATCTGGTTATATCTTTTTATTATTTTATTTTCCCTGCCACTTTTGTAAAACAACTTAAATGTCATCCTCTAACAATTGCCCACCAAAGAAAGAAATGAATAGGAACATTCCCACAGGGGTCCCTGTCTTAAATGAAGCTTTTGTTGTTCCAAATTGTTACTCAAAGCGGTACAAGCCTTTGAAAAGAAAGTGGCTGTGTTGCTGGAAACCTGCTTGCAAAGGGCTTGGGGATTCGGAGCACCTCGCTGTAACATCCCAGCCCAACCTCTTTTTTTTCTTTTCTGGAAGTGGGAATTCAGCAGGTTTAGTGATGAGAATAACTAATTCATCCAGACTTGCCCTGTACATTCGTAGAATTCTTATTCTGAGAAAGAGAAAGAAATGGAATGGAATGGAACAGAACGGAACAGAACAGAACAGAACAGAACGTGGAATGGAATGGAATGGAATGGAATGGAATGGAATAGAATAGAATAGAATAGAATAGAATAGAATAGAATAGAATAGAATAGAATGAAGGAAGGAAGGAAGGAAGGAAGGAAGGAAGGAAGGAAGGAAAGAATAGAATAGAATAGAATGGAATGGAATGGAACGGAACGGAACGGAACGGAACGGAACGGAACGGAACGGAACGGAATGAAGGAAGGAAGGAAAGAACAGAACAGAACAGAATAGAATAGAATAGAATAGAATAGAATAGAATAGAATAGGAGGAGAGGAGAGAAGAGAAGAGAAGAGAAGAGAAGAGAAGAGAAGAGAAGAGAAGAGAAGAGAAGGCGTCTCCACCGCCTTCCTTCAAAGGAAGCCCTCTGAGTGTCAAAACCAATCGATTTCCGTGTTAGCCACCGGCCCCGAGTGCCCTGCTCATTAGAAACAATTTACATGCCTCACATCAGTATGACAGCTGTAGTGAGGGATTTGTTTAGCTAATTTAGAGTAATGGAGAAGCCCAATTAATCACACGAACACCGATGATCCCTAGCACAGCGAGGTGAAGGCTTCGCGTTATGGCATACACCTGTCATGGATGACTCTGGGGTCTTCCCTGCCCAGAATCTCTGGGTCTCTGGCTGCCATCGAACAAGGAGCATGGCGTTATAATCACAGGCCTACGATATTAACCCTGAACCGCAGACGTACTATTTCGGCTATGCTATTACAGACCTGAGGTTCTAATGACCTCAGTAGCAAAAAGACATTCAACCTTTCCATTTTCCAATCTGAAAATTGATGTCTAGAGCAGCAAAAACCCAAAGAAAAAAAATAAAAATGTATTGATCTCTTATCAAATCCACATCGCGCAGGTCATTTTTTGTGCCCCCATCCTTGAACTTCGATCTTCCTTCTCTAATTCTTACATTGGTCCACTGAATGACGGCGCTAGTAATTTCTTCAGAAAATAATAATTTCCAAATCTGGAGGGGAGTAGGGGAATCGCCGAGGTTTTTTAAGCTGCAGGCTGTAGTCCAGAAAATCGCACAACAATATTGTGACTAGCGGTAAAAGGCGCAGAAGAACATTTGAATGCATTTCAGGGGTGGGTTCTACTTACCTTTATTACCGGTTTCCAACGGGATCGTTGCAATGCGCATATCACTGATGACGACATCTGGGGCAGTGGGCGGGGACTTCCGCCGGTTTTACTACCGAACGAGGGGAAACCCACCACTGATACGTTCCTGCCATATAAATTGTTACATGACGTAGATTGTACCTGGTCATCAATTTCATCGGGAGCTTCATCGTCGCTGATGTCAGAATCGGCAGCTGCTGTGGGTTCCTCATCATCCATTTCAAAATTTTCGTCTCAATCCGATTCCACTTTCGGATCACTCTCTGCTTCTCCATACCATTTTAGAACAGTTTCTTTGAAGTTTGGATCACCAAATCGCACTCTCTTTTTTTGGCGGAAAACCTGGCCCGGACATTATAAAAACAAAAATAGAAAAATTTTTAAAAAAAGAGGATAGAAAAAAGGAAGATAGAAATGAGAGAAGAATATGCTACAGATACCTAGACTTGAAATATGGATTGAAGTTAAAATATATGAAAATTAGATTATGTAAAAAGAAAAAATATCAATGGATATAATGAATTAATTTTTATTGAGATGTTGGATGGTACTATTTGAGAAAATTGATGGCTATAATAATTGGGATATTGTTTCAATACCTATAACAATTGTAATAATTTGAATATCTTCAATAATACATTTATTTAAGCAAAAAGAAAAGAAAATTGAAATGATATAGGATTATGATTTACTAAATAAAACTCATTTAAATTAGCTTTTATATAAATGGTATTGTTAAATAGATAGAATTTAGGGAAATAATTGTGAATTGTATTATGTTGTGTTATCTGAATTAAGAACTTTGTTTAAATGTTAAATTGGTATATTTTCAAGATTAGAGATAAGATTCAAATTTGATGAAGTAATATTTAAATAAAAACTTTTGGTTTAGAGCCCCCACAGAGAAGGCTCTCCCCCTGGGGGCCGCCAGTCGACATTGTTTGGCTGACGGCACCCGGAGGAGCCCCTCTCTATGAGAGCGTACTGGCCGGTGGGAGGCTACTGGTGGCAGCAGGCGGTCCCGTAGATAACCAGATCCTAAGCCATGAAGCGCTCTAAAGGTGGTAACCAAAACCTTGAAGCGCACCCGGAAGACCACCGGGAGCCAATGCAGCTTGCGCAGGAGAGGTGTTACATGGGAACGCCATGTCGCTCCCATAGCTACTCGCGCGGCCGCACTCTGAGCCAGTTGGAGCCTCCGGGTGCTCCTCAAGGGGAGCCCCATGTAGAGATGGGGCTCCCCATCTCTACATGGAGATGGGGAGCCCCATAGAGGCTCATCATAGAGGTGATGAGTTCCTGTTTTAGCCATCACGATATATAGGGGCTATTGGTTTGTGTTTTCAAATCACAGTCAAATGTCTATGGAGATTCTCAGTCATCCAGGTCATGGTTGTCCCAAAAGTGCTTTTTCAAGAAGCAGCTGGACTTTCTGGTTTTTCTGTGAAGACGTTTCAGAGTTGAAGATGTTTCTTGGATGAGAAGTAAAGCTTTGGCCTCTTCCTCATTCGGAGGCCAGTGTTTGGCCAGTCTAGGGGTGACATGGTAACACTATTTCAATATTTGAGGGGCTGCCCCAAAGAAGAGGGGGTCAACTGATTCTCCAAAGCACCAGAAGGCAGAACAAGAAATAATGGATGGAAACTCATCAAGGAGAGAAGCAACCTGGAATTAAGGAGAAACCTCTTGTCTTCAGAAGTCATGGCCACTTCATCACTGGAGGTTTTTAAGAAGTGCCTGGATAACCACTGTAATGGTATAGGTACTCCTAGTTTAGTTGAATGAAAAAAAGGACTAGGGGAGACATGATAGCAGTCTTCCAATATCTCAGGGGCTGCCCCAAAGAAGAGGGAGTCAAGCTATTCTCCAAGGCACTTGAGGTGGGCAGGATAAGAAGCAACAGGTGGAAACTAATCAAGGAGAGAATCAACTTAGAACTAAGGAGGAATTTCCTGACAATTAGAACAATTAACCAGTGGAACAACTTGCCACCAGAAGTTGTGAATGCTCCAACACTGGAAGTTTTTAAGAAGATGTTGGATAACCATTTGTCTGAAGTGGTGTAGGATTTCCTGCCTAAGCAGGGGGTTGGACTAGAAGACCTCCAAGGCCTCTTCCAGCTCTATTCTGATTGATTGATCTGGCTTTGTTAAAGAGTGCATTTTTTTTAAAAAAAACCATACCTTGATTCAAATTTGAAATTGCCACTCTGGGCCAATCAGCTTCACTGAGGGAATTCTGCCTCGGCCCCCCTGAGCTCTTCAATGCCTTTCCTGATTAAACGAAACAATCGTACAAATCAAAAACACAGTTGCTTTTGTCAGACCTAAGAACAAGACGAATGTTCTAAGCCGTGTTCCATTAGCATATTGTGATCATTCCTCATTCATTTTTACAGACATCCCAATGAAATATTCTCCAAAAGGCATTAAACACTGCATGCAAATGAAGATAAGAGGCTTCTTCCCCTCCCCTTAACAATTCGTTATCTCTTGATAATATTTGGAAGTAGCTCTCTTTTAGAGAAATATGTACAGAGAGGGAGGAGAAGGAGGAGGTGGTGGTCGTGGTGGAGGAGGAGAAGACAGATATGAGGAGGAGGAGGAAGGAAGAAGAAGGAGAAGAAGAGGAGGAGGAGGAGGTGAAGAAGACAGATATGAAGGAGAAGGAAGAAGGAGAAGACAAGAAGAGAAGGAGGTGGAGAAGACAGATATGAAGGAGAAGGAAGAAGGAGAAGAGAAGAAGAGGAGGCAGAGAAGACAGATATGAAGGCGAAGGAAGAAGGAAGAAGAAGGAAGAAGAGGAGGTGGAGAAGACAGATATGAAGGAGAAGGAAGAAGGAAGAAGGAGAAGAGAAGAAGAAGAGGAGGAGGAGGAGACAGATATGAGGAAGAGGAAGGAGGAAGGAGGAGGAGGAGAAGAAGAGGATGAGGAGGTGAAGAAGACAGATATGAAGGAGAAGGAAGAAGAAGAAAGAAGGAGAAGAGAAGAAGAGAGGAGGTGGTGGAGAAGACAGATATGAAGGAGAAGGAAGAAGGAAGGAAGAAGAAGGAAGAGGGAAGAAGAAGGAGGAGGAGAGGTAAGGAAGGAGGAGAAGAAAGAGAAGAAGAAGAAGAAGAAGAAGAAGAAGAAGAAGAAGAAGAAGAAGAAGAAGAACTACTCAACAATCCCAACAAAACAAAAACAAGAACCTATCCATTTTTTTTCATAAGAATTAATTCAAGAAGGAGGTTAATATAACCTCCCTCTGGAGAATAAACCAAGGAGAACTATCAAAGTCAAAATGCACTGCTTTAGCCTACATTTGAGCTCTCCCACCCTCCCTCACTCAAAGACGCGGATTTAATTCAAATAAAGGCCTGCCAACGGAAGAGAAAGCAGAAGCTGGTGAAAGGGTAGGAGTTAAGTGGAACAAAATCTATAGTTCACTTTGCATGATTTAATTTCTGCCCCTGTAGAGAGGGCAGGGGGTGGTCTTGTATCTTCAGAACGGAGCCATGCAAAAGAATGGGTTGGGTGCAATTCTATTGGTACGTAGTGCTAAGTCATACTGTGGCTTGCTCACATGATCCAACCGCCTTGATTTGTGAGTCAAGCCTTAGGAGCTTAGCAGTAAGCATAAATCAAGCCATGATGGCTTACTTAACACATTAGGTTTTAAAAAAAATCAGAATGATCTGCAAGGCAAGGAGGTACCAAGGTTCTCCTCCATCCAGATCTCTATCTCTATCTCTATCTCTATCTCTATCTCTATCTCTATCTCTATCTCTATCTCTATCTCTATCTCTATCTCTATCTCTATCTCTATCTCTATCCTTATCCTCATCCTCATCCTCATCCTCATCTTCATCCTCATCCTCATCCTTATCTTTATCTTTATCTTTATCTTTATCTTTATCTTTATCTTTATCTTTATCTTTATCATCTTTATCTTTATCTTTATCTTTATCTTTATCCTCATCTTCATCTTCATCCTCATCCTCTCCTCATCCTCATCCTCATCTTCATCCTCATCTTTATCCTCATCCTCATCATCCTCATCCTCATCCTCATCCTCATCCTCATCCTCATCCTCATCCTCATCTTCATCTTCATCCTCATCCTCATCCTCATCCTCATCCTCATCTTCATCCTCATCCTCATCCTCATCCTCATCCTCATCCTCATCCTCATCTTCATCTTCATCTTTATCTTTATCTTCATCTTCATCCTCATCCTCATCCTCATCCTCATCCTCATCCTCATCTTCATCTTTATCTTTATTTGATTTATATATCGCCCTCCTCCCGAAGGACTTAGGGCGGTGAATAGCCAAACGATAAAATACAAAATACAAAATTTAAAAACAGAATAAAACCGAATTAAACAATTTGGCCCAAGACAGATTTAAAACACCCCAATCATTTAAAAACAGATTAAAATTTTCATATTAAAAAAGAAAAAGGGAAAAGATTAGGCCAGGCCCGCCTGGTGGAATAAAAAGGACTTGAGAGTGCAGCGGAAGGTGCGCAGATCCGGGATCCTCCGTATCTCCGGGGGGAGCTCGTTCCAGATAGTAGGTGCCCCCACAGAGAAGGCTCTCCCCCTAGAGGCCGCCAGTTGACATTGTTTGGCCGACGGCACCCGGAGGAGCCCCTCTCTATGAGAGCGTACCGGCCGGTGGGAGGCTATTGGTGGTAGTAGGCGGTCCCGTAGATGCCAGAAAACCCAACCCATTCAGGTTTAGAAGGGCTGGAACAGTTTTTGGATTATACCTTGTCTTCCAACACATATTGTTAAGAAAGTAGGAAGAAAGTTCGGGAGAGAGAGAGAAGTTTAAAGGCACCTCCCAAAACTAATTTTTATGGTATCATAAGATTTGTAGATCAGGTTCCCTACTTCAGGACTTTTGCAATCTTCTTGTTGTGGCCTGTTAGCCCTTCTAGCAGCCAATCAGAGGAGGAGGCGGTGTGGGAGTCAATTTCAGCATCAAGGCAACCTGGGAGCTCCAAGGGGGAAGAGGAAATGGAGCTGGCCGAGAGGGAGACAGAGGCGGAGCCTGGGCCATCCGTCATTCCTCAGATAGAGAGTCAACAGCCCCCAAGCTTGGAGGTGGCTGATGAGGAAGAGGAGGAACAGCTGGGTACAGTGCAGATGCACAGAAGGCAGAGGAGAGGAGAGCAGTGGAAATCTATAGGCCGGTTCTTGGGACGGAAGAGCCACTGCTGCTAGCAAAGCCCCACCCTATCTCTAGGGATAAAAGGCAGGGGGCGGAGATGAATAGATGTGGCAGACAATTATTCATTGTCCGGCCGGAAGGACTTGTTAGCCTGCGGTGAGAGAGAAACTTTTTGCCGGGGCTGCCGGTGCAGGAATCTTTGAGTTCACTTCAGAGGGTTTGTTGTGTTTGGAGAGCTGGGTCAGAACACTTCTCTTCTTATGATGGATGGAAGAGAAGGAAGGAAGGAAGGAAGGAAGGAAGGAAGGAAGGAAGGAAGGAAGGAAGGAAGATTTTGACCAGCTTTTCCCATTCAGGTGAACTGAGAATTTGGAAATCTGAAGTCCACAGGAGGAACTGAGTTCGGAAAAGGCTGTCTTAGATTTTAAGGACTCTAGTTTAAAAATTGAACCAGGGGTGAAATCCAGCAGGTTCTGACAGGTTCTGGAGAACCGGTAGCGGAAATTTTGAGTAGTTTGGAGAACCAGCAAATACCACCACTGCCTGGCCCCAGAGTGGGGTGGGAATGGAGATTTTGCGATATCCTTCCCCTGCCACGCCCACCCAAGCCACACCACGCCCACCAAGCCACGCCCACAGAACCGATAGTAAAAATATTTGGATTTCACCACTGAATTGAGCAATTATCCATGGAAAGCCAGGAATTAAGTGCAATGGGGCAAATGAACAATCGTGATTGAAGACTACAAGGAAACAAAAGAAAACAAGAAAATTATTTATAACAGGCTCCATTCTGGGGCCTGGTCCAACTCCAGTTAAAATTAACACTTAAGCTAAAACACAAACGGAAAGGACTCCAACTCCATAAAACCAACGTACACGATGATATATTTATGACCGCCATAAAAAAATAACGCTATTACAGGTATATAATCTTGTTCCTATAACCCTGCACCCTACCATCTGACTTTGCTAATAAAGTTTTCAACAGAATGGCCCCCACCGTCTTATTTTACGAGCTGCTGTTTCCCACGTCTCCTCGGAACCACATTCGGCAATCTGCCTGGAGTTCAGTCTACAACCACAAAGGCCAAAGCAGCAGATGTGTGATGGAGAATTAAAGATCAAAGTCGAGACCTGAGAAAGGATCAAGGCCAACAGACCCAACGGACGCCACAAGCGAAGAGAGAAACAGAAGACACCGGAGCACAGCAGATGGATAGACTGCAGCTGCTATCCGTGGTGAGGAAGACTTGGAGTTGATCTGATGGGATCCGTAAGTGCCTGGAGGACACTTCCTTTCTAGGCCAGGGAGAAAGAAAATGGAAAGAAGCAATCAGCAAGAGGAAGGTAAGAAGGAAGGGAGGGAGGAAGGGAGGAAGGAAGGGACAGAGGGAGGAAGGGAATAAAGGAGTGAGGAAAGAAAAGAGGAGGGAGGGAGGAAGGACAGAAGGAAGGAAGGAGGAGGGAGGGAGAAAGGAGGGAGGAAGGGACAGAGGGAGGAAGGGAATAAAGGAGGAAGGGAGGAAAGAAGGAGGGAGGGCAGAAGGAAGGAAGGAGGAAAGGAGGGAAGAAGGGAGGAGGGAAGGAAGAAGGGAGGAAGGAAGGAGGAAGGAAGGAAGGGACAGAGGGAGGAAGGGAATAAAGGAGGAAGGGAGGAAAAAAAGAAGGAAGGAAGGAGGGGGGACTGAAGGAAGGAGGGAGGGAGGGAGGAATGGACAGAGGGAGGGAGGGAATAAAGGAGAAAGGGAGGAAAGAAGAGGGAGGACAGAAGGAAGGAGGGAAGGAAGGAAGGAAGGAGAAAAGGAGGGAAGAAGGGAGGAGGGAAGGAGGAAGGGACAGAGGGAGGAAGGGAATAAAGGAGGAAGGGAAGAAAGAAAAGAAGGAAGGAAGGAGGGGGGGCTGAAGGAAGGAGGGAGGAAGGAAGGAAGGAAAGAAGGAAGGAAGGAGGGAGGGAGGGAGGAAGGACTTAGAAAATATTTTTTTTTCAGTGGCAGCGTGCATGAAAAGGTCTACCCTATAAAAATTTCACACAGCAAACAATCACATCACAAGACTTTCCAAAACATTTTCTTCAAGAAATTACACGCATTTGGATAATTCTTACCAAACCTCTTGGTGAAACTTTCAAACTAAAATTGGCTCCTTTCTTTCGGCAGGTTTTTTTTTTTTAAATCCATCAATCAAAGGGGAGGAGGGACAACCCCCCCCCCCGAAATATCAGAATCCTGCCCTACTAACACAGATAGTCGAACTGAAGAGCTGCTGCTTGTTGATTCCCACATCTCTACGGATGGTTTCCTTGGACTTCTTGACTATAATAAAAGGCAAATAGGCCGAGTCATTGAGTGAGGAAAAGAAGAAGACTTTTGCAGAAGGAAAAGGAGGTTTTTAAAGAGAGATTGGACAGGCATCTGCCTGAAATATTACAGACTCTCTTGCTTGAGCAGGCAGTTGGACTAAAAGACTTCCAAGGTTTTGCAAACCTGTAGAGAAAGTAATGGGACATGGTAGCTCAGTGGCTAAGACGTTGAGCTTGTCGATCGAAAGGTCGGCAGTTCGGCGGTTTGAATCCCCATTGCCGCGTAACTGGGTGAGCTCCCGTGACTTGTCCCAGCTTCTGCCAACCTAGCAGTTTGAAAGCACGTAAAAAACTGCAAGTAGAAAAATAGGGACCACCTTTGGTGGGAAGGGAACAGCGTTCTGTGCGCCTTTGGCGTTGAGTCATGCCGGCCGCATGACCACGGAGACATCTTCGGATAGCGCTGGCTCTTCGGCTTTGAAACAGAGATGAGCACCGCCCCCTAGAGTCAGGAACGACTAGCATGTATGTGCGAGGGGAACCTTTACCTTTACTTTTAGGGAAAGTAAATAAGAATGCCATCTCTAGTCCCTTCACCACTCTGTTATTCTGCAATCATTTCAGCAAGCAGGCCGCCCATTTTACAAGGATGGAGAGAGAGGAAGAGAAGGAAACAATCCACAAAAGCCAAACAAGCTAAAAAGAAAAAAACAAAAGAAAGAAAGATAAACAGCCAAAAAGAAGAGAGGAAAGGAAGAGGCCGAAAAAGAAAGTCAATGGAACTCATTACACAGAGAGGCTGGGAAGAAAGAGCGACGGAAGCCAACAGAGTTTCTTTTCAGTTGCTCCCCAGCAATTTTTGACATCTGCAATATCGCCTCCGGCTGTGGAATCTTCTGCTGCATATCCCGCAGCAACCCGCCAGCAGCCTCCCTTCATCTTGCTTCTCTGCAGCTAAACCAGGTTGTCCCAGGCCTGCTTGAAAACCTTAGCAAGGCGAGCCGAGCCCCCCACCCCCTCCCAGAAAAGCTAGATTTAATGAACCGGCACGAATCCTTCAGGATACGTTTCCGCAACGCCAGAAATCCTGTCGATAAATAAGCCTGGCGTACGGTCTTGCCAGAAGGAAGGAGTGAAGGGAATTAGAAAATTGGCTTTCTTTCCTCAAAGGTGCTTTTTTTCAAAAGATAACTGGGCTTTGTTTTTTTCCTTGAAGTCGTTTTGCTTCTCATCCGGGAAGCTTCTTTACTTTACTCGGAACTGAAGAAGCTTCTTGGATGAGAAGCGAAACGTCTTCAAGGGGAAAGCAAAGTCCAGTTGGTTTCTGAAGAACTGAAGTTTCTCGGGTGAGAAGTGAAATCTCTTCAAGGAAAAACAAAATCCGGTTCCCTTCCGTAGAACTGAAGAAGCTTCTTGGATGAGAAGTGAAACCTCTTCAAGGAAAATCAAAGTCCGGTTGCTTTCTGTAGAACTGAAGAAGCTTCTTGGATGAGAATCGAAACCTCTTCAAGGAAAATCAAAGTCCAGTTGCTTTCTGTAGAACTGAAGAAGCTTCTTGGATGAGAAGTGAAACCTCTTCAAGGAAAATCAAAGTCCAGTTGCTTTCTGAAAAAGCACCTTTAGGAGAACCATGACCTGGATGACAGAGAACCTCCATAAACATTTAGTTTAACAAAGGGTCCCTCTAAGCTTCCTGGCCAGTAAAGGGCATTAAGAGGTCACCAGAAATAAACACGGTCATATCCCAGGTTGTTTCGGAGGTAGGGAAGAAGTCAATAAAGAAGATAAGGAACTCTTAATGATGCTTAAGAAGGTTCAGGCAACGAAGAAGCTTTCAATCTATGGAATTGCCCCTGCTTTGCATGCAGAAGATCCTTTATTCAATCTTCAGCACCTCCAGCCATAGCAAATTGGATCAGTTTGACGTCACCCTTTGAACTGATTGAATTCAGCTCTTCCCAATTTGATTTGAGGAATTGGTCTTGCATGGGCACAGCAGACCTTCCTAATTATCCAGACCGAATCGTTGGCTCCCAATTGGATTGGATGAATCGATCGGATTGACCAAGTCATCAAAACCTGGCGGGATTGATGGGAACTGAGGAAGCTTTGCGCAACTCCAGTTGATGGTACAGAGGTAGAGAGGTCCATGCTCCGTCTGGTGTTTTGAGGACCATGGTCACCAAGAGGTCAACGTCGTTGGAGAAGTTAAAAGCTAGAGCAAAAAAACAACCTGGGGGACACTCCGTGATTTTGTTCATACAACAGACGCAACACAATCTGCCACTAATCCAAACCAATGTTCTTACTATCGTACTAGCAATACAAAGTCATACACACTGGCCCAAATTCAGTCCCTTTGAAATGATTTAAATCTCGCCCACTTTCTCAATATCTTCTTCTCTGATATCTTTTTTTTTTTTTTGTAATAAGTTTTTATTTTATTTTATAACATGTAAAAATTCCAACTTCAATCGAACAGTGTGATATCTGGGTACAAGTCATTTTAGGAAGTCATAATCGAAGTGTTTACAACAATATTCATTGCATTAATATCAAGTATGCTAATATTAATGCCAGTAATAATCATAATATTTGTTTAACCAATTTAACACATCGTCAAAAAAATATTCCGTTCCTTTCTTTTCCTTAATTGTAAGTGTAGCTTCTCTGTTTCTGCATATTCTAATATTTTTCTAATCACATCTTTATCTGTTGGGATCTCTTCACTTTTCCAGTTGTACAAACACTATTCTCGCTAATAATAATAATAATAATAATAATAATAATAATAATAATAATAATAACTTTATTGTCATTGTATGTGTATACACAGTATACTCATACAACAAAATTCACTTAACACCCAAAGACCATAACAATCCCCAAACACACCCCCACCCACCACAATTCTCCACCCCTAAACCACCCAAACATCCACACAACAGACCAAGTCATGCTGTCCAACAGCTCACGGACGGTGGCCCTTTAGTTCATTGTTGAGTGCAATTATAGCTCTGGGATAAAAACTATTCAGAAAACATGTGGTCCGAGGTTTAATTGTTCTGTATCTTCTGCCAGAAGGCAACAAGTCCAAAAAGATTGTAAGTAGGATGGGAAGAGTCTCTGAGAATGTTATGCAACTTTCTCAAACAGCGAGATTGGAAGATGTCATCCAGGGCTGGTAGCTGGAGTCCGATGATATTCTGGGCATTTTTAATGATTCTCTGTAAAGCTTTTTTTGTCCACTACAGAGCTGCTCCCATCCCATGCAAGAATGCCATATGTCAGGACACTCTCAATGGTGTTGCAATAGTAGGAGAGAAGTAGATGCTGAGATAGATTTATCTTCCTGAGCATTCTCAGGAAGTACAGCCTCTTCTGTGCCTTCTTCGCAAGCATGTTAGCATTCATAGTCCATGAGAGGTCCTTCGAGATATAAGTGCCCAGAAATTTAAAATTTAATACAGGTAAAATTTAATACAGGTAAAATCAGATATATGTTCCCTTTGTTATACTTATTTGGTAAATGCCCAGCAAAAATGTTTCTGGTTTCAAGTCTATATGTAGCCACCTCTGATAACTGATGACCACATCATCAGTTGTGGTCTGATGGCAGCCTGCGGAGCTGGCAGTGGAGTCGGACAGTGAGGAGGCTGGGGAGGAACATGGGACAGTCCTGGAGTCTGGGGAAGGCTTGGACGAGGGCTCTGCGTCAGAGGCAGAGATGTCAGTTAATCCTTAGTTGGATAACCTTTAGCATGAATGACGGACTTACGACATCTTTCCATGGAGTGAACCAAAGTCTTTTAGTTCTGCAGCTGTTATCATGTGAAACCAAGATTGAATGATGGCTTCTATTAACTGGGTTTTATTGCTGGGTCGCTTCTGACTAACAAGTTTCTTTCGTCGGCTCCATCAATTTTCTCTTAGGTGAGGGTCTGTGCTATTCCCAGGCCATTCCAGCAGTGGAATAGGATTATCTTGAAACTTCTCCCCAAAAAACGGTGTTATTAACCATCAAACCTCAAAAATACACTTTCCCCAAAA